TATATATCTATACATACAAGCCATGAGGCTTCATTTATAGTTCGTTAAGTGAATTCTTGTTTTTCTAAGATTATGTATTACAAGACTTATGTATCTTGTATATATGCCAAGATCTTTGATTTTTGATCTAAGTAGATGACATTATTCTTGAATATTTCACTCACGTATGACTTATGTATCAATACGGAGGTTTGGACACGAGAACCCAAATTTTGAATTATTTGGATATCATTTATATTTTTCATTGATTTTTGTTCTAATATTCATAAATTTAGAACTCTAAGTTAAGTCTCAACATTTTCGTGAAATAATAAATTTTTTTTTTTAATTAGAATTCTAAATTAAATTTCAATCATTTACATGAAAGAATAATTTTCTAATTTAATTAGAATTCCAATTTAAATCTCAATATTTACATAAAAGAATTAATATTCTATTTTTAATTAAAATTCTAAATTAAATCTCAATGTTTACATAAGAGAATTTATTTTCCAACTTTAATTAGAATTTTAATTTACTATTGTTATTATTTTTAATTAAATTCGCTTGAATAGGGAGGTTGAGGGTTCGAACCCCCACAGCCCCCTTATTTTTCCTCTCATTTTCGCTGAAGAGGAGGCTGTGAGGTGGTGGGTTCGAACCCCCACAGCCCCTCTATTTTATTTTATTTTTTAATTCTTTGACATCCAAAAATTTCCAGATTCTTTTTAAACCTATTTCTATGTTTTTGGAAATTTATTCCACTATTTTTCTGCACTTTTTCATCAAGTTTCACATTAGTTCTTAGGGAGATTTCATGGTTCATTCACTTCACTATGCTTCATCAAAATGAACATCACATTGCACACCCATTTCACACATAAAACACATGATAAATAAACAACTTATATACCCCAAAACAATGCCTAAAACACTGCCCTATACACACCCATACATCAACTTTTTCCGGTCATATTTTGATGATCATTATCGCGATTTCCCGCACATAAACACATTCATATTTAATTTAAACACATCATTCATGCAAAAATCTAGCAGCACAACATACCCATCCTACAAATTCATTAGGGAGCTAAGGACAAGGACATACGAAGGGGAACAACCTTAGTTTCAAGAGTTTAAGAAACGTCCGAAAGAAAGTACTCTTGGAGAAAGAATTCCATGAGAGAAACTCATACCTTAATCGATGTTCAAACTTTAATGTTGCTGCCCGGAAAACTCCTCCAAACCACTCCCAATTCACTTCAAAGTATACCTCTCTCGACGAACCTCTCTTAGCCTTGACGTTTTGATTACTTTTTCTTTTGCTTAAAAAAATTTTTTGTGAGTTCTTCAAGCATGAAAATTATTGATATTTTGGCAGAAATAATGTGAGGAAGATGGAGAACGTGAGAGAGGGAGTTTAGAAGCGTGAGAGAGAGAGAGGGCTAATTGGATTAGGAGACTAATTCAAGAATTAGTCAAATAACATTAAAATAAATAAATACAAATCTGTTTTATTTATTTATTTATTTATTCATTTAAAACGTGAAAGGACAATTATGCCCTTAAATACCTATTTATTCTTATTTACATAATTCTCTTCTCTTTTTTTTCGAATCGTTACAATAATAGTATTGGGGTTTCCTCACACATTCATAAAAACGAGAACCCTATCTTGAGGGATTGACCAACTATGAATTAAATCTTATGTATGTTTATGGGTAAAAATATTTTGGTCCGTATCGTGAGTTTATTTATTGATTACATATGACGAACATCCCCTTTTCAAAATATTAACATAGGTCCTCACACATACACTAAAAGATGACGAAAATAGTCATTTACCTTTACAATATGTCAAAATGTATCATGACTCTATTTATTAAAAAAAGAGTAATACATTTTAGGTGAACAAATAAGCGTGGAAAAGTGTTAGAGAAGACTAGTACGGGCCCTCTAACATTATTGTTCCCGGACCATCCACCTTTTCCTTCCCCTTTGAGTGGCTCGGTGAGATTAGATTTCTAGAATGAAATGAGGTGATAAAAAGAAACGATTGCTCACAGGAGATCCCTATTCATGGAAGCACCGTGTAATTAAGGTTAAGGGGAAAATCAAAGTGGGTTCCTAAACACAAACTAAAGCTAAGAGCTTCAGAAGCTTACCTTATTAGCATATATCATATCATATCAAATCATAAAATATTATTATAAGTGGGAAGCTCCTAACTTAAAAATTGAATTACCATTCTGCCCTTATTTTATTTCTAAACTAATATAAATATTAATATAAAATTAATTTAATATTAAAGAATAATTTTATTTAAATTCATGCATCTAGACACAATGGTTCACATTCTTTGGTACAGTAAATTTTCTATCCCATCGTTTCTCTCTCTCTCTCTCTCTCTCTATATATATATATATATATATATTACTGTATAACCTTCACATTAAATTAAAATATGATTAAATATCTAATCATTTAAATGCTAAGTAATAGTTATAATATATTATACTAAATAAAAAAAATAAGAAGTTATAAAGTCAAACATTGAAAGGTAGAAATATTTTTTAGAAAAGTGTTAGAAATCATTTCATAAAAGTTGTTAGGAATTACTCTTTTTTTAAATAAAAACTTTTTATCTAATTCTTTTATGAACGGTTACGTTTAAATGGAAATTTGTTAATTAGATAAAACATTTTTTTATATATAAATATTTGATAATTAAAGCATTTATCCTTTATTCTTTTTTCATAATTGGTGTGGTTAAATGGATTAAATTTGTTATCCTTTCTCTGTAATTAGTATAATTAAATGTATTGAATTACTCCCCGTTCGGTATTGTTTGTCATGATTTCTATTTTTAGAGTCAAACTATAAAAACTTTTACTAACATTTTAAGATGTATTTTTTCATCATATTAATATGCAAAAAATTGTAATTTATAGTAATTTTCATATAGTTTTAGAGTATCTAAGTTTTTTGTCAAATATCGAATTAATATGATCTAATTTAACATTGAAAATTAAGCAAATTGGCTTTCGAAAAGCGCAACATGACGAACAATTTCGGACGGAGGAAGTATTAGTAAAAACAATCAACTTTTCTCTCCCCGTGTCTAGGATCATTAACTTCTGAAAATTAACTTAAATATCTCTTCACATTTTCATCTTATCCTATAAATCTTTAGCTATATATATGTATCATGAAAAATTAATTTTCCTTTACTAATTGTCTTTTTTTTTATGTGAATCACTAGGCAATTTTCAGAAACTTATTTTGTTTTGAAATATTAATATTTGTTTGATCCTAGTTAGAATAATATTTTGTATCATAGTTTTATCTTTAAAGTTTTAGATGGGGTTTTTTTCAATTGTTTATAAATATTTGAGTTTTTGTGGAACAATTATTATACTCTTATTTTGTCATATATTTCCTGATTTGTGTGTTTACTTCTCTTTTTTCTATGTATTTTTAATTTTTAATTGATATGCTAAATTTCTTTTCAGGTCATTGTCACATTAACCGTTTGGATATATATATATATATATAGACACATACACATGCACACTAAAATTGAGACAGAAAAAGTTGAAAGTTGAAAGTATCAAATTATCCTTTACGGGTTGAAAAGTCATTTAAGTATTTAATCCAAATATTTAATAATTGGTATTTAAAAGTAAATTTACCTATCTTTTAATAATATTTCATTAAAACGAAACAATAGAAAACAAATACATTGTCACTCATTAGTTCATTCAATTCAATATGGTGGAATTGCTTTCATATTCCACAATTATTCAACCTTTAGAATTACTTTTTTAATATTTTAGATATGTATAATTTTCGATGATAAATATAAACTTTAAACTAACAGTATTTAGGAAGTCCAAGTAACGGGCATATCTATGTGGTCAAGAAAATCATTTAACTTTTTCTTGCTCTTTATGAATTTTCAATTATTTTTAAATTTATATGCTATTTATCATTCATAAGTAGTGAAACACTTGAATCATTATTAAGGCTTTTGAATTTTGATTGGTTAGGAGATAAGGTATCATCAAGAACTCTACTCATGTATTTTTTATTATTATATATATTGTTATAATTAAAATCTTAAGAAGGATATGAATGTTATATTTGTTCTTATCTGTTAACATTTTTTGTATTCTTTATCGATTTATACTTCTTTAATTTAATCTTCTATGAAATTATGAATGTTATAAATCTATTTTTATTAGTGCTGAAATTACTAATTTATGGCTTTTATATTCGTTTTTAAATATACTTTTATATTTTCTTTCTTTTATCATTTTGTTACTTGTATGGTTTCTTAAGTAACTACATATTTGTGTGCTTACTAAATGGAAGCGTAATGAGAGATTATTAAGGATAAGCCATATAGATATATTCATATAATTAAAAGCTAATAGTATCTTAATTAGTTTTTCAAATTTCTTGCTTGATGTTCAATGCATTATTCGATTATTATGAATTTTATATAATGAATAAAATATAAATAGATAAAACTAATATTTTTAATTTCAACATTTTCTATATAATAATTGTATGGAACAAACATGCAACGAACGTTTGCAAAAATTAGTATATCAAAAAAGTAGAGTCTTTAATTCGAACCTAAATAATAAGAAAAACGAAACATAGAACCGGGTAAGGAGAGGGAAAGCCAAAACTTACTTCTTTTAGGGGGTTAATTCCCTTTACACGTTAATTTAAAAAGATAATTTAGATATGTTTTATCTGGATTAAGATCAAAAACTTGTCGTCATACTTATGTTAGTTATTATTGTTCATTGAGTTAAAAAGATATGCCCACCTATTTTGTATCCAATACTTATTTTTTAAATTAGAGTAATTATAAAAAAAATTGTTATATTATAAGGATAAATCAGTCCATATTGTTCCCTAGTTTGAAACAGACAGGAATTGAAATGAACATTAAAATTATATTAAGCAAACCTTAAATGTAGGACAAAACAAAACAAAGTTAAAAAAATGGAAACACTAACAACCTCCTCTTTTTCTTAGACCATTTCATATCCTCACATATTTAACAGAAACCAACACTATAAATAGTTTCTCCATTTTTTAGGAAATACATCTTTCAGAGCCAAGGGGCATGTACGGTCTCTAATAAAAAATCCCCAAAAGCTCTCTATCGATTTAACTATACAAAAACATTTTTTTTTTTACTTTGGGAAAAATACATAAAAGCATCAAAATATTATGGCTAAAAAATTAGTCATTGGTGGCATAGCCTCAATTCTTGTGGTGGCTTGTGTTGTTGCAGCATGTGTCACCATTACCAAAAAGAATGCGAGCGATGGTGGTGATGGAGCTAGCAATGGTGGCATTTCAACCTCTACAAAATCTGTTCAAGCAATGTGTCAACCTACTGACTACAAAGAAGCTTGTGAGAAGAGTCTTGCATCAGCCAAGAACACTAGTGACCCAAAGGAACTTATAAAAGTTGCATTTGAATCAACCATAACTGACATAAAAAATGCCATAAAAAATACTGACTTGATCAAGGATGCAGCCAATGATCCTAGAACAAAAGAGGCTCTAAATACTTGTGACGGTCTTCTTGATGTGTCTATTGATGATCTCAGAAGATCGTTCGATAAAGTTGGCACCTTTGATATTAACAAGATCAAGGATTATACCGATGATCTAAAAACATGGATCAGTGCTTCGATTACTTATCAAGAAACTTGCTTAGATGCTTTTCAAAACACAAGTGGTGACACTGGTGAAAAAATGAAGAAATTGTTAAAGACTGCAGGGGAGCTTACTAGCAATGGCCTTGCTATGATTACTAGCTTTGGTGACATGCTTACTAACATGAACATTCCTGGTATTAGCCGCCGATTATTGGCAGATGACTACACATCATTCGTTGAAGACGGTTCTCGTAGGCTTCTTCAAGTTTCAAATACCAAGCCTAATGCTGTGGTTGCTCTAGATGGCAGCGGACAATTCAAGACCATCAAAGAAGCCCTCAAAGGTGTGCCCCCAAAGAACATTCAACCCTATGTCATCTTAATCAAGGCAGGTGAATATAAGGAGATGGTCGATATCCCAAGAGGGGTGACAAACGTTGTGTTTATTGGCGAAGGCCCAACCAAGACAAAGATTACTGGCAACAAGAACTATGCTGATGGCACTGCCACTTTCCATACCTCCACCGTTGGTAAGTCAGATCATTCAATTAATGAGTTTATGTGACGTCTAGCGCACACAAAAGTTAAAATCTTTCTCTTAAAATAATGTTAATGCAGCCGTGAATGGAGATGGTTTCGTAGCAAAGGATATCGGGTTTGAAAACACAGCTGGAGCAATGAAGCACCAAGCCGTTGCACTCCGTGTATCAGCAGACAAGACAGTTTTCTACAACTGCAACATTGATGGATACCAAGACACGCTATACACACATTCCTACAGACAATTCTACAAAGATTGTTCCATCTCAGGAACCATTGACTTCATCTTTGGCGATGCATCTGCCGTGTTCCAAAACTGTAAGATGATTGTAAGGAAACCAGGTGCAAACCAAGCTTGTATGGTCACTGCCCAAGGAAGAAAAGACCATCGTGGGGTCGGTGCAATCATTTTGAGGAACTGTGAAATCAGCGCTGAGCCAGCATTCATTAACACCCAGCCACCAATCAAAGCCTATCTTGGACGACCATGGAAGGAGTATTCCAGGACAATTATAATGCAAAGTCAGATAGACGCGTTCATTGATCCTGAAGGATGGGCTCCATGGAATGGTAACTTTGCTCTAAACACTCTGTATTATGCAGAGTATCAGAACAGGGGACCAGGAGCAAATACTGACAGAAGGGTTAAATGGGCTGGTTATAAGAAAAGCATTTCACCACAGGAAGCTGAAAAATATGCTCCTAATATCTTCATTGATCAAGATAGCTGGATTAAGAAGACTGGCATTTCCTATTGATGAATCTGTAACAACTTTAATTATAAATCTTATCTTCTACTGATTAAAAAATAAAAATAACTATCCAACTTATGTTTATTTAGTTGCTTTTCTAGCTATGTCATGTAATACTTAATTAGTTTTAGTTTATTCATATTTTATGTCTTAGCTTATGCAAATTTCGACTTGGCTTTCAGCTTGTTTTATTCTTGTTTTCCCCTCTAATTTGCATGATATCAACCTAAATTCTACGTCATATAGAATTACATTGTTAGCAAGTTCTAGCACCACTGAATAAGTAATTATAGAAGTTAGCATGACAATTAGAGTAGCAAAAGTTGAGTACTACACATTTTTACTTGTCATGTGTCATGACTCAATTCATCAGGTCGTGTAGGAACCTACTTCAATATATAGATAGGAGAACCTAAGACTGGCACCGGACCAGAACGGGACCATCGGACCGGTTTATTGACCGATACCGGGATGAACCAGACCGGAAATTCCGGGACAGATACTCGGTTTCGTTCCGTTCCGTTCATTATATGCCAGAACGGATCGGGATGGGATAAACGGGATGACAACATCTAATTATTCAAAAAATGATTTTTCTGAATTACGAAAATATGAATATTTTTTTATTTTTCTATTTTTAAATTTATAATGTAATTTTTTTACTTAAGCTTATTTTAAAGATATATTTTTAAAATTTTTTTACTTATTAAGTTTGCAAATTAAGTCTATTTAAGTTTTCAAGATTTAAATCTTTCTAAGTTTATAAGTTATTACTATTATTTATTATTATGTTATAATTTATAAGTTATATTTAAGGAAAATGCACAAGTACCTGCTCAACCTATGTTTGAAATCTCAAAGACACACTTATATTATATTAAGGTCCTATTACCCCCTAAACTTATTGTATAACTATTTTTCTACCACTTTTCGGCCTACATGACACTATCTTGTAGGCCCAACGTATGTTGACATTTTTCTTCAAGCTAGTGTCACGTAGGACGAAAGGGATAGAAAATTATTTATAGAATAAGTTCAGGGGGGTAATAGGACCTGAGTATAGTATAAGTGTGTCTCTGAGATTCCGGGCATAGGTTGAGGGGGTACTTTTGCATTTTCCCTTATATTTATTACTTGTAGTTTAAATGACTTAAATTTGTAATTTTAAAAAATTAAATAAAAATAAGGATAAAACAATTACACAAATTATAATATATAAATTATAATTTATAAATATATAATATAAATTAATTAAAAAATATTGATTATCTTTCTGCTCGAAAACCAAACCAACATCTACAATATTATGAATATACCGTAGAATCCATTTTACAGTCTACCAATGATCCTTTCCAGGATCATACATGTACATGCTTACAACGTCAACAACGTGTGAAATATCTGGCCTTGTGCAAACCATTACATACATCAAGCTACCGATAGCATTCATGTATGGTACTTTTGACATATTCTCATTCAGCTTCATTCTTAGGTGACATAGCATCACTAAGCTTAAAATAAGGAGCAAGTGGAGTGCTAACCGATTTCGTTTTGTCATTCATACCGAATCAGTTTAGTACTCTCTTCAAATATTCTTTCTGAGATACATAGAGTTTCTTTGAATGTCCATCTCTTTTTATCTCCATGCCAAGAATACTCTTTGCCTCACCCAAATCCTTAATCTCAAACTCCTTTCTTAGTTGAATCTTTAGCTTCTCAATTTCCTCTTGACTTTTAGAAGTTATCAACATATCATCAACTTTTAGGAGAAGATATATAAAGGAATCATCTTCAAGCTTACGCAAATAGAGACAATGATCGTATTTGCTTCTTATGTACCTTTTGTCGCAACATAAACTTGTCAAATCATTTGTACCATATGAAGATTGTTTCAATCCACACAACAATTTTTTCAGTTTGCACACCATATTTTCTTTTCCATCAACTTTGAATCCTTCTAGACGAGTCATGTAGATTTCCTCTTCTAAGTCTCCATGTATTACATCCAACTTAACTAGTTCCAAATTCAACTATGCTACAAAGCCAACAAAACTCTAATGGAGGAGTATTACAACTGGAGAAAATACCTCATTATAGTCAATTCCCTCTTTTTGAGTGTATCCTTTCTCCTCTAATCTTGATTTGTAGAAAATATCGTCTTTCTTAGGAAATCCTTCTTTCTTTGTAAATACCCATTTGCACCCAATTGCTTTCTTGCCCTCTAGGAGATTGGCCAATCTTCATGTATGATTCTGATGAAGGGCCTGCATTTCTTCATCCATGACAATCCTCCACTTATCTTCTTGTAAACTTTGGACTGCGTCTTGGTAAGTGGTAGGAATGACATCAGCTGCAATTGAGGCCACACAAGCCACCATATCTATGAATCGAGAAAATTTTCTTATTGTCCGTTTAGTCTTGCCGGTTTCTATTATTCAAGTTGTGGTTGAGGTTCTTGAGATGGAACCTCCTTTTCGAATGACTCTCCTAAAATCTTTAGTTCTTTCCTCGTTTGATCCCTGTGTTGGGAAAATTATCTTTCCCTTAAACTCCACCTGTTTTGAAGCACCATCAATATATTTGACTTCTTCAATTGTTACCTTATTTGTCGAGGAAGATTCATCAAAGGTAACATCCATGCTGAAAATATATTTTCTTGTCTCTCGACACCATAAATGGTATCATTGACTCAAGAAGTAATTTCCATAACTAAAACTTTCTTTGTTCTTGGGTCTAATTTTGACTCTCTTACATGATAATATGTAATTGAGCCAAATACATATAAGAACCATAATATTCATCATGTTTTCCATACCGTTTTTATGTCTTTCCAACAATAGAAGCAGATGGTAGACGATTAATAAGGTGACATGCATATATTATTGCCTCAGCCCAAAATTCTTTGCCCGAGCCAGCATTGGACAACATACACTGAACCTTCTCCAGCAAAGTTTGATTCATGCGTTCTGCGACTCTATTCTGTTGTGGTGTATTTCTGACGTTGAAATATCTAAAGATGCCATTTTCCTCACAATTTTTCTAAAAATGATCATTTTTTTTATTTTCTCCACCACTGTCTTTGCGAAGACACTTGATCTTCCTGCCACTTTGTGTTCTATCATCGCCTTCCATTTGACGAAAATTCCCAATACTTCATTTTTGTTTTCATCATATACACCCACAACCTTCGAGAAAAGTCATCAACAAACGTTACAATATAGAGTTTCCCACTTAATGAAGGTGTTTAGGAAGCAGCTCAAACATCTGAATGAACATAATCCAAAGTACCTTCAGTATTATGGATAGTTGTTCAAAATTTAACCCTTGTTTGCTTTCCCTTGACACAATGCTCGAAAAACTCCAAGTTGCAAGATTTTACTCCTTTTAGCAATCCTTGATCCGATAAAGTTTTCAAGGATTTTTCTCCAGCATGTCCCAAGCACATATGTCACATCTAGGTCATTTTTGTCTTGTTGTCGTCATTGGATGTTGTTGTCGCTGTCCCAATAACTGTACTACCTTGATAGTGGTACATGTTATTTTTTTCGAATTCCCTTCGCTACCACTAGTGCACCAGAGCATATTCTCATCACATTATTATCTGTGATGACTTTAAACCCCTTTGACTCTAGGGCTACTATATAAAAAAAAGATTTTTCTTTAAATCTGGTACATATCGAACATCTATTAATGTTCTACATAATCGTGGTTCCTTAATCGGATTAAACCAACACCAAATGCAGTAAGAAGAATATTGTTTGCGGTGTGAATAACTCCACATTCTCCTTCTTGCATCAACAAACTAGTCCCGATTCGGACATATATGATAGCTACAAGTTGAGTCCATCAACTATACATCAGATGATTTGGATGAATCTATCGTAACTAGTAAGTAATTAGAGTCATCACAATCAGCCACATTTGAATCCATGACAGCCTTCCCATTATTTGGTTTGGCTTTGCTATTCAACTTTGGGCAGTTTTCTTCCAAGGCCCTTTTTCTCGGCAAAAGGCACATTCATATTTGCTGATTATGGATCTTGACTTGGATCTCCCTTTTTTCATTCTCATATGATTTTTGAGAACGAACTCTCACAATGAAGGCTTCTATTTCTCCATCTTTTTGTTTTTCTCTCTTTCTTTATATATAACTATATAAGGCAGAACAAATTTCTTTGAGAGATACTTCATCATTCCCATAGACTAGAGTCGTTTCAACATGCTCGAACTCATAGGGAAGTGAACTTAACAACATTAAGGCCATATATCCATCCGTAAAAGTCACATCCATATTCCGCAAATTTATCGCCAACTTATTAAAGATGGTTATATGATCATTCATTGTGCTACAAGGAATATAAGTGAAGCGTAACAGTCTTCTTTTCATGTTTAAGTTTATTTTGACTGTATTTCTTTAAGATTTTTTCCTCCAATGAATTCCATAATTTATTTGCAGATGTTTCCTTCATGTATGGATACTTTTGTTCTCTTGCAAGGTAAGTTCGAATGGTACCGCAAGCAACACGATTGATAATCTTCTAATCTTCTTCTCCTACACCGTCCAGTTTCTTTTCTTCACTGGCAATATATATCCCTTGTTGAAAAAGAATATCAAGGACCTCGCCTCACCACAGTCTGAAATGTCCTGATCCATCAAAAATTTTAACTGCAAATTTGACATTTGACACAATTCTCGTCATAAGCGAAGATGCCAATGATGACGTATTATTGACACTCAATGTGGACTCATCGTTTTCTTGTCTATCATTTTACTACAAATACTATTTACTAGCTAATAGTTAAATGTCCAAAGTGAATCTTTTTATAATGTGGAAGTTCAGGCTATGCTGCACCATAGAGCATACTCAGATAAATCTTGGCTCTGATACCAATTGTTGCGGAAGCGGAATATATAGAGAGTAATGGAATTGTAATACCTTGAAAATGACTTAGGCGAAGCTTGATCCTAACATGGTTTTCACGATGGTCTAAGGTCCTAAAATGTTTTATAATTTGATATTGAGGCAGTGTCTAAGAGTTTAGGTGCATTAGAAGTCAAACATCAAGGGATGACTAAGACGTTGGACAACTAAGGCACATATGTGCCTCATGTGTGATTATGTGTCTATATGTGTGTTTTCTGAATTAATGAGGTTCTTATTAG